ACATTGGGTATCAAACAATTCATGAACAAAACGCAAACCACATAGTAAGTACTGCAAAGAATCAACAACTGGGATCATATATTATTAAAAAATGTTTTCAGTTCAAAAGAAATCACCAACAAAGTAAAAGAAAATCTACAGAATGGGAAAGAATTTTAGCCAGCAGTCCCTCTGTCAAAGGACTTAGATCCAGAACATATAAAGAATTAAAAAACATCAAGACTCCCAAATTCAAAGACCCTCTCCAAAAATGGGCATTGGAGATGAACACACATTTCTCAGACGAAGACAAACAAATGGCAAATAAATACATGAAGAAATGTTCACTATCATTGGTCACTTGAGAAATGCATATTAAAATAGCATTGAGATTTCATCTCACTCCAGAAAGAATAGCTGCTATCAAGAAAGAAACTGATAACAAATGTTGGTTGGCTGTGGGGAAAAAGGAACATTTCTCCACTACTGATGGGAATGTAGACTGGTGAAGCCACTGTGGAAATCAGTATGGAGATTCCTCAAAAACTGAATTCCATCCAATCCAGCTATTCCCCTCCTTGGTATTTTCCCAGAAAAATTGAAAATTTTATGTCACAGTGATATGTGTGCACCCATGTTTATAGCAGCACAATTTGTAATAGCTAAATCTTGGAAACAACCAAAATGCTCATCAACCACAGAATGGATGAAACAGATGCAGTATTTTTATACAATGAACCATTACTCAGCTATAAAAAAGGATGGTCTTGAAGCTTTTACAGGTCAGTGGAAGCAACTTTAGACTATTCTCATAAGTGAAATAAATCACTCAAATTTATAAATATCATATTGTCTTTCTAGTATAAAAATAATGATAAAAAACTGAAAGAGAAGTAAAATCCAAAATGTAAAACAGATATTGTAATAATGAAAGGGAAAGAAAGTGCTCTAAAGGATATAACTGTATGTATGTTTACATGCTCAAGATAGATAACCATACTACTAAGTTTTTGTTAGTTTATCAAACAGAATAGTTTGTACTGTTGTTGATTGTCCACTTTTTATGCTTTAATTTTGTAACTTAAACAACTACTTCTAAGATAATAATATGTAATTTATCAACTAGTGATTTCTTACTGTTATTTTTTTTAAATTCTGTACTTTCTATTCTTTTTTCTGTTTTGCTTTATTCTCTAAGTAAACAAAAAGACTTTAGCCAGATTATCAGAAAAGGGAAAGAAATAAAATGGATGTGTATAAGGGACAAATCAAACTAAGTTACTCATTCAGATAACATAATCCTTTACACAGCAAAGCCAAAATATTCCAACAAAAGACGCCTAGAACTAGCAAATTCAGCAAGATAAAAGAATACAAAATCAATACATAAAAAAATCAATAGCATACCTGTATAATAATAATGAATTTACCAAGAAAGAAATTAGGAAAACAATACCATTTACCATAACATCAATAAAAATAAATGCTTAGGAACCAAAGAAATGAAAGACTTCTATAATAAAAGCCATAGTAAGCTGAAAAAGATCAAAAAGGCCATCAGGACATAGAATGATAATATCTTGTTCCTGGATAGGCAGAACCAATATTATCTAAATGATCATACATCTGAGATTAACTCAATCCAAATCAAAATACCAACAGTGCTCCTCAAAGTACTAGAGGACAATCACAAGATTCATAGAAAATCAGAAGAGAATAGGAAAAGCAATCATGGGCAACAAAAGCAAAGCAAGTTGCATCAAAATCCAGAATTTCAAGCTATATTAGAAAGACCCAGCCATAGAAAGCAGCACAGCACAAAAACAGACACATGGATGACTACAACAAAATAGAGAGTACAGGAAAAGCCCCAGGTGTCTGGACACATTCGGTCACCTGACCTTTGACAAAATGAACAAAAATCATGTTTTCATTGTATTGTTTATTTTGGGGCCTTAATGTTTTTGAGTGGTTTATATTTGCTAAATGTTATTCCTCTGTCGAAGGAGAAGCTGGCAAACTTTTTCCATTCTATGAAAAAGATAGGCTCTAAAACAAATGGACCTGGAAAAACTGCTATTCACATGCAGCAGATGAAAACTAGACCCATATCTTTTATTGTGTATAAAATAAAATCAATATGGACCAAAGACCTCGGTGTTAAAACAGAAACAATGATTCTGCTGAAAGATAAAATATGTAAAACTCTTAATGACATACACACAGACAAGTATTTTTGAACAAAACCCCAATTGCATAAAAAATCAATTAATGAGATTATATCAAATTTAAAAACTTGTACAGAGCAAAGGAAACCACCAGCAAAGTGAAAAGACAACCTACAGAATGGAAAAAAAAAATTGCCAGCTATTCCTTGGACAGAGGAATACCACCTATAAAATATGAACAACTCTGAAACATTCATCTCAGCAAAATAAAAGATCCAATCAAAACATGGGTAAATAGAGACTTCTCAAAATACAAATGACCCATAAATACATGAAATACATGTTCAACATCTGTAGCCATTAGAGATGTTAGAGCAAACTAACATAGCACTGAGATTCCATCTTATTATAGAAAGTATAGCTATCATCAAGATTTCAAGTAGTAACAGACTCTTGTATGGTTGTCAGGGAAAAAGGAACACTTCTGCATTGTTGGTGAGAATATAAACTCATACAATCACTATAGAAACCAGTATAGAGATTCCTCACGCAAGTAAAACTAGCAATTCCATTCAACCTGATATTTTCCTTCTAGGAATTTTCCAGAAAGAGTTAAGGACTTCATATTACAGTGACATGTGCATATTCATGTTTATAGCAGCATAATTCATAATAGCTAAATGTTGGATCCAGTCTCTATATCCATCAACAGATGAATGGTTAAAGAAAATGTGACGTTAATGCACAATACAATAGTACTCTGCAATAAAGGAGGCTATATCTGAGTTATTTGTAGGAAAATGGATGTACTTTGAGTTCATAATGTTAAGTGAAATAACTCAGACACAAGGGCTTAAATATGAGAAACTTGAAATATAAATAATATAAAGAACCAAATAAAAGATAGGCGATAGGAAATAGTTAGATAGATCTTTTCTACATGAGCAGAAAGCCAAGAGATAAGGGAGGGGTATACAAGAGACACAGATGGGACAGTAAACAAGAATTAAAATGTGTTATGGACATGCACCTATCCCCACAATGAATGTAATCACTACATGCTGCAAAATGAACTAATAAAAATTTTAAATTTAAAAGTAACTAAAAGTCTATGAGATGGACTGAGAGATAGCAAAGAGAAAAAAGGAGGAGGAGGAGGAGACCTAGAGTAAAAGCAACAAAGCCGAAATCTACATTTACAAATGGACAAAGTAAAATTCAGTTCCTCAAGCCTGTTAGGTGTATTTTAACTGCTTAGTAGACACTCATAGCATGTGGCTACCATGAGGCATAAATATAGACCCTTTATTTCCCTGTAGATACATTGAATTGCACTGCTCTGGACAAGCAGTTGAAAGGGGACCAAGCACAATAACCTTACTTTTAAGAATTGTCAATTGTGTGGTCCTTTTCAAATGAAATATTAGTCATGCAAAGAAAAAATGGCTATGACTCTTTGAAGGTGTCTCACTGGTAAACTACATGCACTTAAAACACCTATCACCTCCTGGATACTTGATCTTAAACTGAATTTGAATTCATATATGATTATAACACTGTAAAGCAATGTCTCCTACAATGCAGAGTAAAGTGTTAGGCAGAAAAAGTTTCCACTTGAGGAATTTTCTATGAAAGGAAATTAAATCCATTAAATTCTTGACTTTGTAGTCAAAGACAATCACTATAGGTTGATATAACAGACTTTCAGGGAAAAAATTAAATTTTGAATAGCAGAGATACCATTGAGGTGAATTATTTTGCTCCAGGAGACCTCATGCTGAGATTTATTTCTTCTTCTTGGTAATGCATAACAAAGAAAATCTAGTGTGGGCTTGTATCAGAGGGACCATTTATGTTGATGAATTAGAAGGCTAGCAGTGGCTTTTACCTCATTCTAGCTATGGGCCTATTGATGTTCTCATTAAGAACTAATATTCTCTGTATTAGTTCATTAGATTACATGATTTGATTTGAAACTGATCATAAATATTTAAGTGGTATTACTTCTAAAATGATCGCTTCTCTGCCCTTTGTTCATAAAGGGGGTATAACCCATTCGTGACTGTTTCCAGTGAGGGATGCAACAGGTGTACCCACTATGTGGGTTACTCAACATGAACATAGGTCCGACACACCCTCTGTGACAATGAAACACACTAATCGTACCAACTGTACATGCCTTCCATTATCTTCTTTACACATCTAGATGTATTGAGGATTTATGGTTTGGCATTGCCCTTTTTTTGTACCATCTTCAGAATTTTATTTCAAGTTTGGAAAACACACAGGGTACTTAATTTCTGAAAGTTTGCATATTTATATGTGAAATGATTTAACAAGATCAGTGGTAATATTCATGTTAATTGAAGGAACAGATTCACTGAGCAAACCCACAATATGAGCCCACATTATTTTAATCCCTTAGAATAGATTGAGCTCATCAGGCTTTATCCTGGCTTCCTAAGGTGGCATCCTAAGTCTGACTGGACACCGTGAGTGAGCGTTACCCACTTTGAGGGGTAATATCACTGCTTTGATCACAGAGCTTGTGCAAGAGGCTTCCTGGCATGGTACCTAGTCCCAAACGGCTGCCTTTCCTGGCCTATTTCCCTCATTCAAACTCCTCCACTCCCTAGTGATATTTTTATTTTTTTATAAAATTGTTGACATAAGCTAGAAATACATATTTCATAAGTAGCCTCCTATGATTTTTCCATTCACCAGTTCACAGTAACTCTCAGTATAACCTCCAAGCCCAGCTCTGGTAATAGGCTAAGCATGATCCGTGCTGTTGCTGCAACCATCAGACATTCACCACTTTTTGTTTCACTGTTCTTGGTCTCGGTAGCTCACCTCCATGGGGTACTGTTCACTCCTTCACGGGGCAACGGCTGTCAGGAGTCACGCTCAGCTTTGGACCCCTGTGAGTCAGAGGCAATAGGATTAGGAAGAGAGGTCTGAACCAAGATGAGCCGGTCAAATTGTTTCTTTCTACGAATTTATAAGTAAAAGCAAGTGGTCAGCCTGACTCGGTTTTGGAATGAAAGAATTGAAAACCAGGAAGATGTGAGTTGCTTTTTATAGGAAGTAAGAGCAAAACAAAATGAAGTAAATTTTCAGAGGAAAAAATGAAATTTTGATAGTTTTTCAGTCCAAGCTACTATCTCCCCTGTCCCACACAACACAGCCTTCGTGGGCATATACAAATCATCTTCCTTCAAACAGGATTGAGTTATCCCAGATGCACTTGTATTTACCTCCTTTTCTTCTTTTAAATGATAACTTCTGTACATCCTTCACTTCCTTGTTAACTCTTCAGCTTTACTTGTCCTCATATTTTGTCCTCATATTTTGTCACTGTGATGGTTGGGTATGATTTGAGTGTGTCCAACACGGGTTCATGTGTCAGAGCTCTGGCCCTCCGTGTGGCAGCCTAGCGATGGGAGTGCAGTCTAGTGCCAGGCCATCAGATGCATGCTTTCAGAGGGATTAAAGTCCTTCTTCTGGGATCACTCAGTTATTTTTCATGAGAAAAAAATCATTATAAAGCATCATTAGGACCCTGGAATCTTACTCTGGCCTCCTGTCTGGCCATGTTTTCCGATGAGGATGCTCCTCTCAGTGCTATACTGCCCATCACAAGATTCTCAACAGAAATGGTTCCACAGCCATGGGCCTCCAACAATGAGCTAAATCAATCTCTTCTTTGGAAGTACTCAGCTTTGAGTATTTCATTAAAGAAACTAGAACTAATACAATGCTGTGGCTTTGTCTAGATGTCCTCCCAACAGTCATAGGTGGGGCTTTCTCATAGACGGTTGGATCTACAGTATGTGATGCTGGGATTGATTCATGGTGTGATGCCACAAACAAGGGCACTAGGATTAAGTGTATCAGCACTTCCTGCCTTAAGAGTGAGTAGTTTGGATAAAATAAATGAGGCAGAAAGGCAAAAGAGGCAGAAATGTCTCTTGCTTGCTTGCCTTCGCTATCTTCTGCCTGCCATGAACTTTTTCTCTATTAAAATGCCCTCTGCCAAGCCACTCTGTCCTGTAGTCAGTTAATAATGGACTGAAACCTCTATAAACTGTGAGCTAAATAAAACTTTCCTCCTTTCTCTTTGAGTATCAGGTATTTTGTCTCAGCAATGTGAAAAGTAAGGATGACATACAGTAATGAAACTCCTGGAGACACAAGCCCATACTTTGTAAACAGGAACTGAACTGTGGCCACTTGCAAGTCATGATGCTAAAAAATTTGTTTTACTTCACTTAAAAACAGCTCCATGTCATTCCCTTGAATGGTTTTACATTGTCTTGATATGTTTGGTGCTACAATATATGAAGTTATACTCAAAGATTTCAAGGAAAGAGACATTATGGTAACTACTTTTATGTCAGGATATCTTGTGGTGAAACACTATTTTGCTTCAATGGTTATGCTTTGACCTGCACTGTTTTGTTGTTATGCCCTCTTTTATCTCAGTCTCCTTTTTTTAATTATTTACTTTTTTATTTTTATCTTTTTAATTAAGGGAAAAATAAAAAATACCAGGATTATCGTAACCCACTTTGATTTCCTATTAACTTGATTTGAAACCCTGTATAGCCCTCACCATCTTGCTTTGACTGATTTTCCTCTATTCTGCTTTGCTTGATAGTACCAAGTTCGAAAGTATAGGCAAAACTGTGAAGACAGTAAGATTCATTATGACGCCCATTCCGGTTGACTATTATCTTCTTTTAAAGTCCTGTAATGTCTCCAATGTTTTGGTTTTATTCTTTACTGTTTTGTTCAATTTTATTATAACTGATGATATAGGCAATTCTTTTTAAGATAGCAAGAGGCAGTATGGTAACCATAGTTGATCACCTAGTATGTTGTTTTTACATTATCTATTATGTCCATCCTTTTGATTTGACTGACTGTTCTATCACATTTGGCTTTACTCTCTTCAAAACAAAAAAAGTAATAAGAACTGTGGGAGTAATAAAACCCAAAATGTGTAATCATAGTTGTACAAAAGAAAGGAAAAGAAAGTGCTCTAAAGAGTGTAACTGCATACATGTTTAAGTGTATAAGATAGATAACCATATTACTGAGTTTTGTTGGATCATTGAACAAAACTGTTTGCAGTCTCACTGTTTGAAAGTCCCCTCTATATGCTTTAATTTTGTAACTTGAACAACTATTTCTAAGATAACAATACGTAATCTATTAACTAGTGATTTCCTATTGTTTATTTTTTCTGAAATTCTGTGTAACTTGTACCCTTTTTCTATTTTTTTTCTTTTTCTCCTTAAATAAAAAAAAACAGCTCCGTGTATCTGCATGCTGCACAACTGCTTCCACTTCTGGTCTACTTTCATCCTTTATTGGGTATCTAAGGCTAATCACTTGTCCTTGACCTCTCTCCCAACCTCATGGTGGTTGTCATCATGTCTCCACTCATTCAAGAAATTAATTACACACAAAACTGAATTCATTATCTTTTTAAAAGATTTCTTCCCATCCTGGTACCCTGTTTCTTATACATGCCACCATTCTATCAGTTGTGCAAATTCAAAAATTCTAAATTTTCAATATTCTCATATTAAACCCCCTCCATCATTTAAAAAGTCTTCTATGTTTGTGCTTCCTCTTCATTATTCCTACTAACTTTCTGCAACATCAAGATATGAGGAATTCAGAATAGAGGGACCTAAATACAAAAGTTTAGCCATAAAGATGACATAAGAACCAGAAAACTAAATAATAGCGAGATAACCCAGAAATTAGTACAACAGTAAGTTTCTAATTTCATACCTTGGAGAAGCAAAATAAAAATAGGCTACCAAAGCTAGAGCCATAAAGCATTTGCCACAACTGCCAGAAGTCCTACCTGAGCTAGAGAAAGTAAAAGACACTGAATTTCTTTGACTTTCCCTCCATTCTTCCACCAGGCCTCTCAGTGACCACACCAGCAGGAAGCCAACAGCTGATATGAAGCCTGAGACACACAGACTGCACTAATCTACTTTCTTTAATGAAAGAAAGATAGAGAAATGGATGTGAAAGCATATGAGCTGTCAAGTGACATACTCACTCGAGACTCATCCCTCATTTCCTTCTACTTTGACTGATTGTAATGGTCTCTTAATTGGTCTCCTTGCCTGATGTGTCTCTTTATACAGTTACTGCCAAATTAGTCTTCCTAAAGCACTGGTACAATTATGTCACTTTCTTCTCCAAATGTTTCAATAGCTCCCTTTTACCTACTGAAAAAAAATCCTCATCCCAAAGCATAGTGTAGTAACTGACTTACTGTGGTAGACTCAAATGAATCAAATCTCAGAAACCACTTCCTTGTGCAATCTTCTGTTATACTAACTCTGGGCTTGACCAATGGGAAATTTGGCAGTACAACCAAAGCAGAAGCTTTATATACATTTGTACAGTGAGACTGATCCTATTATAATGCTTTTTCTTAGTGTTCAACCACCATTAATCTAAACTTGTCTGAAAGAATCATGTTGAGAGAAAGAGAGAGAGAGAGAGAGAGAGAGAGAGAGAGAGAGAGAGAGATTCTCTCAGATATCTTTGCTAAATATTAGACCTATGAGTGAAGCCACTTTAGCTATGACCTATCACAAGCACAGGAGAGATTCCAGGTAAGATTCCCAAAAGAACCATTCCATTGATCACCATTAAACTCAGAACTAGGAGCAGGTAAAATGGTTCTTTTTGAGCCTTTAACTTAAAGGATGATTTACTATATACCAATAGGAAATCAAAATACTACAGCTTCTATCATAACCACATGAGGTCCAATAGCTGTTATAAATCATTATTCCATAAAATTTGTTCTTATCAGAACAAACCTTGATTGTTACATCTGGCATTAAAAACTTTTCACTGTCTTGCCCCCTCTAGGCTTTACGTCACAGCTGACCACTGTCCTCAGTTACCTTTTACTGTAGCCAACCAAGTCATAGGTCCTCATTCATGGCCATCACCATCTAGATCTTCATTTTGTCTACCACTGCAAGTGATAAGTGCTGATTTATCAAGTGCAGTAGAGAATAGTATCAAAGCTCCACAAATAATGATCTCTTTTCTGACACATATTTCATGCTTGTTTGTACCTGTGATAGTGGGCTGATTGTGTCAACTCGAGTAACAAATGCCCAACTAAATTGGCTCAGCATGGTTCTGGATGAGGAATACCCAACCTAAGGTGGTTTGTCACCTGGATGGCATTAAAGGAAAAATGAAGAAGGATGGATCTGCTTCTGATTTTTTGGAGAAACTCCAGTTTTTACCTTCACCTTGCACATCATCTCCTAGCTTCCACTGCAGACTCTTCAGATATCAGTGCAGATTCATCAGTCTTCCATCACAAACATTGTGACTTACTAATAAGGACTCATGCAGGACACTACACTGAGCACCAGAGCTTCCACTGGATCCTTCAGGCTTCAATGTGCAGAGAGATCCTCTGCACTCTTCCACACCTGACTGTGGGTGGCCATTATAATACAATCTTGTAAATTCTTATATATCTTGCCTTATATATATTTCTCTGGTAAGCACCTAGTGATACCCTATCCTTTCATACTCTTAGATCCTTTTCAGAACTGGTAGTTCCCCAAGAATGGAGTTGGAATTCTTACTGCTTCTTTTTCAACATATTTGAAATAGAATCTTCTATAACAGTATATATGTTCTTAAATGTTTGTGCACTGACTAACTGGTCCAATTAAATATCAGTTAATCTGATGATTAAAGAAAATAGAAATGTTACCATATTTATGTGATATGTTATGTGAATCTTATCTTCCTTAGCGTGGATCTCAAAGTGTTTGAAATATTGAGTTATTGCAAATTTCCCTTCTTTTATACAATTAATTTTCTCTGTCTTTCATTATTGCATCCCTTCCTCCAGGTCCTGCTTCTTTTTGCTTGCCGGAAGGCAGGGAACCTTTCAGTCAGAACGTGCTGCCCAAACCTCCCTGCCCCTATCCATGGAGATGTAGGGGTCAACACAATTATATTAACCTGACCTCTCCCTTTCTGTGTAGGTTCATTTCCATGCTTGAAAGCAACAACAGTGGTATGTTTCTAAAGTCCTAGCCCTCCAGGTGTAAATTTTAATTTAATCATTTAAAACAATAAGAACAACGATATTCTTGGATAGTACAAAATACCTAAGGGATGGCTGCAAATACTTGAAAATATTCACTAAACAGAGAGGAAAGCATACTAGGCCAACTGGTTATAAATGAAAGCAATCTTCATTGAAAATTAAAACTAGGGCCTGACAATGAAGATGATAATTTCTACAAGTGCCATTTAAAAGAATTCACCTATCACAACGTCTTCCTTTTCTTTCCTCTTTACTACTATTTTTTGACAAAAATGGGGCTTGTACAAAATTATAAACCATGTATGTTCTGCATATAATGGAAAAATCCAAGGTTTTGAATTGACACACAAGTTTCAATCCCAGTTCTATAAGGCAATTGCTGGATAAGTGCTTTCAATTCTGTCACCTTCCAGGGTCCCTCACTGGCAAACAGGGATAGCAACCCTTACTGCCCAGGGTTGTTGTGAGAGCTGCTTGTATTAACACTGAGAAGTCCACCGCTTGGCATATTACAAGTGCTTAATCACTCAGGAAATGACAAGGTTGAAATTTGTAATGTATCTTTTTCATTCACCAGCACCCAGATAGGACCTTAGCCGTAGTGGGTGTCCTGTACCTGACCCTTCTTCAGAGGTGCAAAGGAATCATTTCTGTGTTCACTTTCTATCACTAAATTGGTTTCCTGTTGTCTTCCTTATCCAATGACAGTATACACTTACTGAAGTTTGGGGATTTGTTCCTTTCAGATTAAAAAACCCTCACTCCAGTGCATGCTCAGATTGGCAGGCAGATACCAAACCCATGCTCACAATCATCTACATACTAAGAAAAACATGTAAGAATTCATATTCTCTAGGAATGGATAATCTGTGGATACTGCCTGCATTGATTAGGGTCCAATAGAGAAAGCAATAGAATCAGTACAAATAGATACAGATATAGATATATAGCTATGTCTTACCGTATCAGTAGTGGGAGAACCTTTATGGCTAACTGCTCACTGGAGAGCCTGAGGATTCAGTAGCTGCTCGGTCCAAGAATCTGAAACCCACAGAACAAGAGAGATCAACGATGTAGCATTAGTTAGAGACCAAAGCCCTGGAAAATGCTGGTAGGAGTCTGTGTTGAAAGGTTGAAGAATCTCCAGTCTAATAGTCACAGGTGATAGAAGTAACAAAAATAGCATACTCAAGGAGAATGGTGCTTTTCAAATGGAGGCCAGCTCCCTCCTAATCGTCCCTTCCACCTCAGCTATTGGCATTCTAGTAGCTGTCATACTATGGTATCTGTTATGGTTGACACGCTGTGTCGACTTGAGCAGTTTAGAAGTTTAAGAGACAAGTAATAAGCACTAAGGAGTAATAAAATCCAAGATGTGTAAATTTTGTTGAAAAAAAGAGAGGGAAAAAAAAAGAAAAGGAGCTCTAACGGATATAACAGCAAGTGTGTTTGGGGGTGTTAAATAGCTGACTTTATCAATGTTTTTGGAACATTGAACACAGCTGTTTGCAGTCTCCCTGTTTGAATGTCCACCTTGTGTTCTTTGATACTGTGATTTGAGGAACTATTTTCAAGAAAATAGTGTGTAATCTACTAGCAGGAAATTTCTTACTGTTATGGTTTTTTGTTTTGTTTTGTTTTGTTTTGTTTCGTAGTTCTGTATTGCGTGTACCCTTACGCCGCTTTGGTTTGTTTTGTGTTTTTCTCTTTTTCCTCTTAAATAAAAAAAAAAAAAAAAAAAAAAAAGAAGTTTAAGAGACTCAGCAGGAAGCCAAGGTTCTTACTTTGTAAATATCCTCATCCTGTGCAAGAGGAGGATAAGGAGATTTTGTGAGTGCTACACGTGCTCTGCCTCAGGGGTGGCCTGCTTACAACATAAGGGACGAGAAGAGGTTTGCTTTTCCCTTCTTTTGGCTCTGGCTGCTACCTTGAGGTATTGCCCCAGTGCTATGCCTCCCTGTGTTGAAGCCCACTGATTATGGACTAAAGCTGCCAGAAATTGTAAGCTAAATAAACCATTCTTTGCTTCACTTTGGGCAAACAGGTATTTTGTTTCAACAATGAGAGAAAAGTAACCAAGACAGCTACATACCTATTGGATGATGTCACTGAGCCAATCAGGCTGGGTCTTACCCTCTCAGTTTTCTTACCTACACACCAGTCATCTCTGGAAGCACCTCCTGAGACTTACCTAGACATGTGCTTTACTAATCTTCCAGGTGTTTCTTTATCCAATGAAGTTGACAGATCATAATTAATGATCACAGAGCACATGCACATATGAAAACAGAAAAAAAAAAACTCCACCACACATTCTATGGCATCATTCTAATCATTTCAGTCCTTTCATATCAAACATTATTGTGTCTCCTTCCAAGCTTCAGTGGCCCTGAGGTAGGCAGAACAGGTACTAGAATGCCAATTGTAAAGCTGAGCAGAATGATACTCAAAACTGCCAATCAACCTCAAAATCTCCACAGGTGCTTAAGAGCTAAGCCCTGTGTCCCCAGTGCTCCTTCCAATAGACATTCATCCCCCTGTATATCCCCAACACACACTCTCTAAGTTCTTTCTTAATGGCTATTGTCTGTCATAGATTACATCATTATCACACCACTTATTCATTCATTTGAAAGCACTCACTAAGCTCCTGTGGCATGCATGGCTCTATCCTGAATGCTTCATAGGGTACAGAGATGGCTCCATGGATCCACAACACCTGTGAAGATAGGAAGTGGCTTGCAGAAGGAACAAGAAAGTATTTCAAATATCTCCTTTTATAAGAATTCAGAAAGGCTTAAGGGAGGACACAGCTTGTAAGAGGATCCTCAAAGACTGGGAGAAGCGCAGGTAAGTGAATTCAGGCTATGGTTTCAGATCTGAAGAAATTCAGATTAATTTTTTTATATTTCAATTGAATTTCAGGTTTTAGCACCTTTTAATCTTTGAGAGGTAAATACTAATTTCTGTCTGTTACATGGTCTCAGTACATTCAAGGTATATTGATTATTTTTAGGTATGATTTTGATAGAACCAGGGAAAGTCTGTGTATTTCATTAGACATTATCTCTAAGTGTTTCGGTGTAGCATTTCTGAATGAAGATTTGAATTGGGAACCTAATGAAGGCAAGTTGACCTTTCCAGGAAGAGAGAACTACATTCAATATATAGAAGGCCTGGGGAGAATAAAAGGCAAAAAAGGGGTTTTATTCTTGTTCTTGACTTGTTTCTAATATGGACATCAGTCTTTTGCTTTTGGACTCAAACTTAGATTGAACTTACGCCATTGGTTTTTCTGAAACTCAAGCCTTTGACCCAATCATACCATCAACTCTTCTAGATCTCTTGTTTGCTGCCTATAGATCTTGGAATTTTCAGCCCAATGGAAATAATGAATGAAATTATAGTAGTGCCTTTTATTATCTATGAACTCTGGGAAAAATATTTACCTTCTATTTTAGGTCCCAATATGTGTTGTGATAAGCAGAATTTTAAGCCAGAATTGCCTTTGTATTCTAGGTTTCTTCTGTTTCCAAATGAGTTTTAGGGATGTTTGCTTCAGAGAGAAACAGGATCAAAAGAAGAAAACAAAAAAAAAAGGTAAGAAACCTAAACAATGAAAAAAAAGAAAGAAGGAAGAGGAGAAAGAAGAAAACAAAAAAAAAAGGTAAGAAACCTAAACAGTGAAAAAAAAGAAAGAAGGAAGAAGAAATGAAGGAAAAACAGAACAAAAAGGGAGATCAGGGAAAAAGAGGAGACGAAAAAAAAGTCCCAAAAACAAAAATAACTACAAAATACTAAACAACACAAGATGATATCCAACCAAACAGGAAAGGCATGTCTGTAAGGCATGTCAATGGTATTTTGATTGAGATTGTATTAAATCTGTATAACAATTTTGGGAGTATGGCCATTTTCACAAAATTGGTTCTTCCTAACGAAGAGCAAGGAATATTCTTTCATTTTCTAATATCCTCTTCAATTTCCTTTTTTACAGTAGTATAATTTTCAGCATATAGGCCGTTTAAATTCTTAGTTAGATTGGTTCCTAAGTATTTCATTGTTTTGGATGCTATTGTGAAAGGTCTTATTTCCATAATTTCTCTCTTGGTCAATTTTTTGTGTGTACAAGAATGCTATTGATATTTGATTGTTGATTTTGTATCCAGCTACACTATCGAATTTGTTCATTAACTGTAGTAGTCTTTTGATGAAGTTTTGGGGGTCTTCTATGTAGAGTATCATGTCATCTACAAATAGTGATAGTTTAAGTTCTTCCTTTCCTATCCTTATTCTTTTTAGTTCACTCTCTTGTCTGATTGCTCTGGCTATGTTTCCAAACTATATTAGAAGAGGAGTGGTGATAGTGGACATCCTTGTCTTTTCCTGATTTTAGAGTGAAAGCTTTCAATTTTTGTTCATTTAGTATAATGTTGGCTGTTCATTTATCATAGATGGCCTTTATCAGATTGAGGTCAATGGCATCTATTCCAAGTTTCTATAAGGTTTTTTTTTTTATCATGAACAAGTGTTGGATTTTTATCAAAAGATTTTTCTGCATCTATTGAGATGATCATATGATTTTTGCCTTTGGCTCTCTTGATGTGTTGTATGACATTTATTGATTTGTATATGTGAAACCATCCCTTCATTCCTGATATAAATATATTTGGTCATAATGTATAATCTTCTTGATGATTTGCTGCATTCTATTTGCCAGTAGTACACTGAGAATCTTCCCATCAAGGTTCATTAGTGAGATTGGCCTATAGTTCTTCTCTTTGGTTGAGACTTTCTCTGGTTTTGTTGTCAGAGTAATACTTCCCTCCAGGAATGAGTTAGGGAAGATTGTTTCCCTTTCAATTTCATTGAAGAGTTTGCAGGTTATTGGCATTAAATCGTCTCTAAATTCCTTGTAGAAATCAGCTGTGAATTCATAAGGACCTGGGCTTTTCTTTGTCGATAAGTTTTTAATCATATTGTCAACTTCAGAGCTGATATTGGGTTATTCTAAATTGTTATATCTTCTTGATTAAGCTTTGGTAGTTCATATGTAACTGAAAATCTGTCCATTTCCTCTGGGTTTTCCACCCACACTGACACAAGTCTGCTGAGGTCCTCTGTTTGGATGAAGCATTACTGAGTCTCTCATCACTCCAGCAAGGTTAATCCACTGCAGTAAAAGGTCCTGGGAGACGGAGGGGCAGCCAAAGATCCAGGGAGGATGAAAGGAGATCCACCAACCCCTCAAGTCCATGGAGGGTAGAGGCAGGTGCAAGGCCATTGTCAGCCAGTCCCTAGGTCCATGGAGGGTGAGGGCGAGGGAGAGGCATGGTCTGCCAGTCTGTAGGTCTGAGGAGGATGGAGTCACGAGCAAGCCCATCCTGAGCCGGCCCCTAGGTCCATGGATGGTGGGAGTGGGAGCAAGGCCATGGTCTGCCAGACCCTAAGTCCATGGAGGGTATACCACATACTTGTATGCAGTAATTTTTCCCTTAGTGGAGTTATTTTACCCTTCTGCAGGAGGTGGGAGAGGAAGTGCGGGGGACAGCTTAAATTGACAAATGAGGTCAAGTGTATTAGAGTCAAGGTTGGAGACCAAAGGATGATCATCAGAATTTTGTGGAACTGGATGACCCAGAAGGGAAACAGACATAGAGTGTGGTAGAGTAATCAGAATTGGAGGCGACAATGTTTACTCACTTGAATGTTTAAATTTAAGAAATAGTTGAGGAAAGAGAGAAACAGGATCAAAAGAAGAAAACAAAAAAAAAGGTAAGAAACCTAAACAGTGAAAAAAAAGAAAGAAGGAAGAGGAGAAGGAAGAAGAAATGAAGGAAAAACAGAACAAAAAGGGAGATCAGGGAAAAAGAGGAGACGGAAAAAAAGTCCCAAAAACAAAAATAACTACAAAATACTAAACAACACAAGATGATATCCAACCAGACAGGAAAGCAAAAATAGTAAAATATCTCTGGTGTTTACAGTTCTGTGATAGTATCCATGTCAGATCCCAGAAATGTGCTGTGTGCTCCAGCTAG